TTCGGGATGTCCCGTTCAGGTGGAACGAGAGCATCCTGACTCGAAGTATCTTTAGTATCAACTGGCTTCTCATTGTCATCTAGCGGTTCAATTCTCGATGACTGCGTTGAGAGAGGTGTTCCCCTGGCGGAGTTACTATTTGTGTTCCAACTTCTAACCTGGGCGCGGCTTGATTCAAGTCGTGCAATGCCGTCAAGGCGCCGCTGGCGCATATATTGTCGCATCGCATGACGCCGAACCTGCTTTCTGGACTCTGTGTCTGTAACCAAAACAAATTCGAAAGATTTGGAGCTTCCTTGGGGCTTGCTGGAAACTGATCTCGCTGCATAACTCGGCGACATATGTTGGGGGGTGGACGGAGTGGATAAAGTGGCGCAAGTCGAGTCTGTGACTCTGAAATGATCACTGTCACCTAAAGCGGACGAGACATCAGAGGCCTTCCCCTTGCCAGTCCCCGTGGCACTAGCTTTCCCCATGATGCCATCTTGCAGGTAACCAAGTGTCAGCAGAAAATGCGTTTAAGCTAATTAATTGGGTAAGGACACCGGAGAGGAGATCGGGTGAAAAAAATTAAACGCGGATCAAAGGCCCAACAAGATCTTGACATATGATTATTCGTGGAATGAAGGCACCCAATGCAGGGAAAAGCACTCACCACTCAGGCAAAAGGAGCGGGAAGCCGATGTGATTAGAGCAGGATAGTGATTTCTGATGCTAGGTTGTTTTTCTTGAGCCAGTATGAAGCTCAAGATCGATTTCCCAACTAGGATAAGGTATAAAAATACTAGGCTATCCCTGCTACGGGGGCGGTCACGTGAAGATGCTAGCCCCACCAGGATGTGGAGATATGTTATTTGTATTTGGCCTTTCGAGATAACTATCGAACAGTCATTTTTTCGCGGGTTTACCGGATAGAGCTACATGGCTGGATGGCGATGGCTGATTTCATATAGGAGAATACTGTAAGATCACATGGCCATTGCGGGGCCTAATACTGGTAGAAAACTGTCTAGAAACTATTTCATGGCTCTCTCTCTGAGTTTCCCGCCTCTATCTGATTTACAAGTACTAGTACTTGTGGATATCGGTTCCTGTGCAAACTCCTCGTTTCGCCTTTCTTATTTGCGCACTGACTGAGATCTTCAAACAATGGTATTTCAACCGGACTAGAGCCATAAGTACGCACTTTCCCCTTCTGTTGCACCAATCTCCGAAGCAGCTTCTAATCTCGACTGGATGATATCACTATTAGTATGCCAATATGAAGTTTCAAACTCAAACAAAGTAGTGCCAGTCAACTCGCTCAACCCGAAGGTGATCCAATTCCCAGCACTGATGAAACTAGTTCACTAGTTTCATCAGTGATATCCTCAATCACCATGTTCTCGAAGCTTATCGAGGGCTGTCATGACTCCGTCATTGAACTGCTCCTCGTGTTGACCTGACGGGCGAGCGTTTGATTCTGGCCAATCATCTTTCGAGGAATCATTTTCACGTTCCATATCATCTTGACTGTTGGGTTTATTTTCGTGTATCCGGTGGCTGGGGGTCTCTGATGATTGGCTTGGCTTATCGTGACTGACTTTTTCGCTATGAGCAGCAAGGAATGCGTTTTCTTCCTCAGTAAAAGTAAAATTCTCTTGCTGCGTCACAGCTGCTTTGGCGTTATCGGTGGATGGTTTTGCACTTCGTTTCGCAGTCCTTTGTATCCGAAAATCATCTCTTACAGCATCGTGCCATTGTTGGACCTTCTTCTCCCCCCATCCTGGAACCGTACTGATTTGCTCTGCCTTAGCGTTGACGGCAGCTTGTAAGCTACCAAACGTTGATATCAAACTTGCTGCGTCTGATTTGTTGATGCTTCTAGGAGTCGTAATAAACTCCACTAGACTCTCATTATATGACTGCGATTGCTGCGTGCGTATGGCCGTCGGCTGTGCGTGTTCACAAGATTTAAAAAGTTCCAGGTAGTGCCCTGCTTCGGCAGCGGACCAGCACAAAATCAACGTCAGATTATTAACAAGTGACGTCTTTGACAACTCCCTGAGGCTGTCTTCATGATTTGGAATATCAATCAGTGTGAGAAGAATGCGTAAATTATACTTTCCCGCTAGGCCCTTGATTCGAGAGTAAATGTATTCCGGGTGCAAACGGTAGTATTTCAACGAGAGAAAGAGGACGCAGGTTGTGCTGCCCACGATGTAGTCTGCAGGGATGTCTGCATATTCCCAAGGTACGTGACGCACATGGTTGAGGATTGGATTTCCTCTTTGCCTTGCTGATACCAGAATAGAGGAAGGACTAGATCGGCTTGGGAGTGCTTGGGGTTTGGGTTGCTGGACTTTACGTGTTTGATCTAATTTTTCTGGTGCAGAAGTGCGCGGAAGACTCTTGTCAGATTTACTAGGTCCAAGTAGCACGTCGAAGTCTGGGACATCACCGAAGTCGTCATCCATTTTGTTAGGCGGTCTGTTGAGAGCAACCTAATGCCTACCTAAGAGGTGCAGGCACTTCAAAGTGAGTCGGGTAGATGACTGAATAAGCGATAAACGCGCGGCTGAAAATTATTCCTAATTTTGCAAAAAAAAAAAAAAAAAAAAAAAAGTCTAAAACTCTCCAATTGAGAGTTTCCTGCCAAAACCTCCCAGAATGACAGAAACACGCAAAAGAAAACGTCTATCAGATAGCGGAAATTCCCAGGAGGATGCAGGGTCTCTAGCGACAGACCAGCAAACTCAGACGGTTGCAGATGCGGCTGGCTCCTCCCTCCAAAAGCCCAAATCTAGGCGAACACTCTTTGTGCGGTCTCTCCCTGCGTCCGCAACGACTGAGAGCTTAACAGAGTACTTCTCGCAATCATACCCCTTGAAGCATGCTACCGTTGTTCTTGACCCTCAGACGAAACAATCGAAAGGCTATGGATTTGTCACCTTTGCCGACCACGAAGATGCCGCGAAGGCTTTAGAGGAATTCAACGGCTCGGATTTTGATGGTAGAAAACTCAAAATTGAAGTCGCTGAGCCACGCCATCGAGAGATTGACGAAAACCAGGGAAAGAGTGTGTCTATTTCCCACCTGAAACAAGTGCGAGAAATTCGAAAAACCCAAGCTCAACCGCCCAAACTCATCATCCGAAACCTGCCATGGAGTATAGCGGAACCAGACCAATTATCCAACCTATTTCGAAGTTTTGGCAAGGTTAAACATGCTGTTATCCCGAAAAGAGGCACTAAACATTCTGGGTTTGGATTCGTGGTCTTGCGTGGTAGGAAAAACGCGGAGAAGGCTTTGAACGCGGTGAACGGTAAAGAGGTTGATGGAAGGACTCTGGCCGTTGATTGGGCTGTGGAGAAAAGTGTCTGGGACGAGTTTCAAAATCATACGGATGATGTTATTGATGGTAAAGGCAAAGAGAAGGAGGGGTCTGATAATGATCACAAATTAATGAGAAAGAAGATGAGACCTCGACAGATGATGAATTGAATGGTAGGCTAGAGGAGGATGGAGGAGAGGAGGATGGAGATGATATATCTATGACTGATTTAGAGGGAGTTGAGGAAGATGCAGGTAAAAAAATTGATGAGGATGTCGAGGATGAACGAAACGCTTCAACTGTTTTTATCCGCAACCTACCTTTTAATGCTACAGACGACTCGCTCTATGAACATTTCGTTCAATTTGGACCATTAAGATATGCCAGAGTTGTTGTTGACGCGGAAACAGACCGACCGAGAGGAACAGCTTTTGTTTGCTTTTGGAAGAACGAGGACGCAATATCTTGCCTTCGTGATGCCCCGAAACGAACAGATTTACTCCGGTCCGAAGATTCGAAACCCAAGATGTCTACCATAAAACATTCAGTTCTCGAAGACGAAAATAAGGACCCTTCTGGAAAATATACTATGGATGGTCGGGTTTTACAACTATCTCTCGCGGTTAGCAAATCCCAGGCCGCTAAGTTCGAGGCCGAAGGCAGTTCGCGTAGGCAAGCTCGTGACAAAGACAAACGTCGACTATTTCTTCTGTCTGAGGGCACCATTCCGTCTAATTCTCCACTCTACAAACAACTCTCCCCTTCAGAAATTGCAATGAGAGAAACAAGCGCCAAACAACGACAGAAACTCATTAAAAGCAACCCGATGTTACATATCAGTCTCACCCGTCTATCTGTTCGTAACATCCCTCGGAACATCGATTCCAAGGCTCTTAAGGCGCTTGCGAGAGAAGCAGTTGTCGGCTTCGCGAAAGACGTGAAGAGCGGTCTACGTGAGCCCTTATCGAAAGAGGAACTTCACCGAAGTACTGAGGACATGAAGGAGGCGGACAGGTTGCGGAAGGCAAAAGGGAAGGGTATCATCAAGCAAGCCAAGGTCGTCTTTGAAGGTAAAGAGGGCAGTAAGGTTGACGAGAAAAGCGGAGCTGGCCGAAGCCGCGGATATGGATTCATCGAATACTATTCTCACCGCTCTGCATTGATGGGACTTAGATGGCTCAACGGACATGCAGTTTCTGGATCCGACAAAAAGAAGAAACGGCTCATTGTTGAGTTTGCGATTGAGAATGCGCAGGTCGTCAAAAGGAGGCAAGATAAGGAGGAGAAATCGCGAAATCATGAAGACCATAGCGCAAGTCAACCAAGTCGCACGCAAATGAAGGCATCCCGAAGTCGTCAAGATTCTTCAAAACCTAGCTTCCCTCCCCAGCAGGAATGAAGCGGAAGAGGTCCGAAAGCGCTGGGCAAGGGAACGCACATCCCATGGCC